GGCCCCCTGCCTTGCGGGGCCCCCGCTGGTCAGAGGGTACGGAGGGCGCTCGCTACGCCTCTGATGGCCAGAAAACTTAAAGAGGTGAAAGTTTCAGCTCCCTCTATTGAGGAGAAGGGGAAAAGCCAACTCTGGTCAGCTTCCTTTGCATATTGGTTACCCATAATTTCGCCATCTAAGCTTTGTTGTTTTGATTACAATTTGTTTAAGTTTTAATGTGCATATGCAGTAATAACTAATTATTCTTACTGCTTAATGAAAGGTCAGAGAAACTCTGCTGCTAAATATGCTCTCGGTGAGGGGTCTCCATCAGGGACAATAGATGAACTAAGGTTGGGAAATAAAGTTTGGTTCCAGCAAAGAAAAGGGGGAAAATGCTGTATCCTAGAAGCAGGAACTTTGTCCAAAGGTCCTGTTTTTTCTGGATTATTCCATCTGGAACCTCTGACCCTGCATGGAGGAATCTGTGTGATGAGACTGGACTGATGATGGTGTAGATGAGGTGACACTACAGAGAGGCCTGACTGAGCCAGTAGCAGAGCTTAACTGAGCTGCCTACTGAAAGAGGCCTGACTGAACCCGCAGGGCAGAGCTGACTTCACAACACCCTGGCTCACCTGGCCTGGTGAAGATGAGCTGAATCACTGACCTGCACCTGGTAGCTGCTCATTGGCAGAGCAGTGCCATTGGGACTGGAGGAGAACCAGCCCTAGATGCCCCTGGGCCACCTTGAGACTGACTCGTCCTGTGACTGGCATTTTTGAAGGGTAAGATTTGAGTAAGAGAGGGTTCTGGTCCTTCAGTAGCCAGACGTGTATTATCAGAGGCTGGGAAAGGCTGACTGCTATATGCATTTTGAGTTGCTATTTCTTATATGAGTAGATATTGACACATGGAGGTCTTTTTATGTTTCTTTCTTGTGTTTCCCTCTTTTCCCATCTAAAAGATTCATGTGCCCCATGTTCCCAAAGGACTCTGAGTGCTTGTGAGTGGGGGGGAAAAACACTCACATAGGTGACCAGAGTTGTTTTGTTTTATTTCCCAGAGTCAGAAATGAGACTATGACTCTGGATGGGGGCTGGAACTATTGTTGACGTTCTTAGAAGGAACCCTAGTGATTTGCACCTGACTCTTGTTGCTGCCATCAGCACCTGGCAGAAGGGATGGAAAAGCATCTTGCCAGATACTCTATTTTGCTTCAACACGTGCTTGTAGCTCCCATTAAAGTTAGGGCCTTTACTCAGGTAATGCTACAGTGAGAGTTTTGTCTGAGTAAGGACTGGGCGTAGTGAGATGCATACATGTTTAGAGGGTAGACTATATGCCACAGAAATGGTTACCAATTTGCCAGGTTATGTTAAACACAGGATGGAAGATTTCTATTTTTGTAAAATGTGTGAATTTGCTCTACATTATAGCTAGGATGACCAGATAGAAAGTGTGGAATCTGGAGGGGGGGGGTAATAAGCACCTATATAAGGAAAAGCCCCGAATATTGGGACTGTCCCTATAAAATCGGGGCATCTGGTCACCCTAATTATAGTTAACTTCAACATTTATTTTAGTAGATAAATATTTATAAAATATGCACCTCAAACCTTCCCCATACCAAAAAGCTCCCCAACATCTAGTTCAGGGGTGGGCAAACTTTTTGGCCTCAGGTTTTGTAAATTGTATGGCGGGCCGGCTAGGATAGGGGGTCATGGCCCGGCCCCCATCTCCTATCTGCCCCATTCAAACCCCTTGTTCCTTGACCGCCCCCAGACCCTCGCCGCCCCTATCCAACCCCTCCTCTCATTCCTGACAGCCACCCGGGACCCCTGCCCCATCCAACCCCCCCTCCTTCCTGACTGCCCCCCGGGGCCCCTGCCATCATTCAACCCCTTGTTCCCCCCCATCCCTATCCACACCCCCACCCTCTGACCACCCCCCGACCTCCCCTGCCCTCTATCCAACCTCCGCTCCGTGCCCCCTTACCACACTGCCTGGAGCACCAGTGGCTGGTGGCGCTCCAGCCGCGCTGCCTGGCTGGAGCCGGGCCACGCCACCGCTGCCACCACGCAGCACAGAGCACTAGGTCAGGCCGGACTCCGCAGCTGCGCTACCCCAGGACCTCATAGCCCTGCCGCCCAGAGCATTGCACCAGCGGCAGGAGTGAGCGAGCTGAGGCTGTGGGGGAGGGAGGACAGCGGGGGAGGGGCCGGGGGCTAGCCTTCTGGGCCAGGAGCTCGGGGGCCGGGCAGAACAGTCCCGCGGGCCATAGTTTGCCCACCTCTGATCTAGTTTTTCACCAAGTTCCAGAAAAACAATGATACCTGGTATTTTAATCTCTGGAATAAGAAATCCTAGATTTCTGGGAATATACAAAATTTGAGTTTAGGTAGGAAAATCTTTGAACTCCTGCAGAACAGCATGTTGTGTAATTTCTAGAAATGCCACTTCAAGAAGTAATGCAGGGCAATTTCTAAGTTCTGAATCTGAATCCTTCCTATGCCATCAAACATTGCTTAGGGCACGAACAAGCCTCCATCATCCCTGTCTATCCTGAGCTTCTCTTTGCATGTCTTCTGTGTTAAGTCCCATAAGTTTTCCCTCTCTAAGTACTGTTTGATGGAGGGATTTTTTTTCAGTCAGACACTGTTACAGGTTCCTCCAATTGTCCAATGGCAGGCCTGCCATGGCAGACGGTCTGGCTTCCTTCTGACCTCATATCCCAGATATTTCCATCTTCTCCTCTTGATAACCTTGGAGATAAGGGGTTGTTGAACTCTCTGACAAACCTCAGCATTTGTTATAAGTTCATTCCATTTAATATCTAGTATATTTCCAAAGAATTTCCTTTCAAAGCCATTTAGATGTATGTCTGTACCTTTGGTGGATTCCTAGTTTTCACATCCATATATTAAGATGGAAATAACATTTAAAGATTTGTGATTTGGTCTATATATGTTAGATTTTCAATGACAAATCTTGTTTAAACTGGTTAATGCAGCTGCTGTCCTGCCAATTCATAACATTTTTTCCTTCGGGATATCCCATTGGCTTGCATGTTACTGCCAAGGTTTGTGAATGGTCTCACTTCTTGTGTTCCATTGTCTTCCAACGTAATGCCTAAGTTGGGAGTTGCTGGCATTCTCTTTAGAATTGATTTTTCATAACTAATTATTAACCTCATCTTTTTGTGATTCTGGACAGTCTTTCGGTCTTTGCTTACATGTTAGTTGAGCTGTTCCTTAGAAGAGCTATGTTGTCAGGAAAATCTAATGCCTGTGTTGTATCCATCTACACTTTTCTCATAATGAAGTCAATAACAGTACCAAACAGTAAAGGACAGTGAATGCATCCTAATGAATTTTTAATTTAGCATTCCATAATCACTGTCTTCCAGTAGAGCTGGGTGAATAATTCATAATCAAAAATTAACTACATTTACCTGTTTTCCTGAATTGTCCATGAGCCGATTTAACAAAATCACACATTTAATCAAAACAGATATTCACCAAATATTTCCTCTTAATAATTTTAGATCTCTAGATGATTCACAAGCTATTAATTGAGAGTATTCATTATTTGAGATAAAAGCTCTTTTAACTGGACATATGCCAAAGATTACATACAATATTCTGCTCCCTGACTGAATGGGCGGGAAATCTTAGAATCAAGTTTCCAGTAACTACACATATTCTTTCTGTGAACATTTTCCATTATTTGTCAAGAATTCACAAATTTGGGGGACTATCCCAACCAGGAAACTTTTTTGCTAGAATATTCATATGAAACAAATACAAAATGGTATAAAGTACCAGCATGAATTTGTTTTAAAATGTCAACTGAATATTCCTGGAGGGAGAGGGGGGGGGAAATGTCCATGTGGGCTCATTTCTGCCTTCCAAAATGGCTTGCAGATGCAGCTGTTTGTTTGACTCTTCATCCTGTAGTGATTTCTGCTAGAAAAAGTAAGTAAAAAAAATGATAGTTTGGAATTATTTTTTTAAAAACTTTACCTTAATGAGGGCGAAGAGGGTTTGTCTTCTAAAAAGAGGACTTTTGCTCCTCACACCTCAGTAAAGGGATTCTCCCTATCTTCCTCAAGGTCCAGTATTATGGTGACCTTCCTTGACCTAGGAAGGCTGGGCAGTACTCATTGCTGCTTCTAGTTCAGCCTCAGGGGTCACTGCAAAATAATGGAAGGTGCTTTCTTTCCATAGGTCTAAATGTGGTACCTCCACAGTATTCAGTCTTCACCGGACAGCCCAGGGAGTGAGGAACTGGGATTAGAATGGGAGCTGGTTCCTCTGCATGAGAGAACAGAATGCTCATCCCATAGGACCAAAACTGGACAGCCTAGTGGTTGAAAAATGAACAGGTCATCAATAATATCTTCTCCATCTCCCTGAAATGTTTGAGGCTAAATAACTTGGGGAAATAATGGAAAAAACATTATATGAACTAGTTAAAGCTGTATCAAAGTAGACAATGGCAGTTCATATTAATGGGAGCTCATGTAAAGATCACCACAAAGCTGCCCACCCTGCTTGTAAGCACTTTAGCAGATTGCTATGCAGAGATGTCCTCCGTTGGGTTCTTGCTTCCTCTTCCCCCCATTAATTCTTGTGCTACAAGTCTTAGCTAAGTGGCATGACGAAAGAGGTTCCAGGGTAGAGCTGGTAAAAATTTGAGACAGAATGAGAAAGAAAGATGGGTCATTAGAGGAGGAGGAGATAGATCAGAAATAAGTGAATGAAGTAGGAAGGAATTAGGGAAGGGAGAGAGAAAGCAGGGACATGTAGAGACTGGGCTCATAGGTTTTATTCAGTTGCTTTGCCAGTGATTTGTTTAGCATGACAGCATGTACAACATTAAAAGAAACAATGGTTCAGACAAACTATCCATAAACTTATTTCACGTGGATGCACATTTTGATTTTTTCGTTGACTTGAGTTTTGCTTTGAGCTGCTAGTTCAAACAAAATAAAAATAAAAATCTTTGAACTGAACACACCAAGTTTTGTGTAAATCATTCGTGCTTTATTCAAAACTGGGAAGGTTCACAAACACTGCCAGAGTAGTTTAATTTAACCTAATGTTTGGGTTTATAATGAAACTATGGACCTGAAATAAATCCAAGATCTGAAACCCCCATACTTTAGAGTAATTGAGTTCTGGATTCAAACCTTACAACTTGGGCCCATCTCTAAACTAAATCTGCCAGTAAATGCATTTCACTTTGTTTTCAGGGTTTGTTATGAATGGTTCCCATACTGCTACAGCCAGTGTGATTCAAACAAAGAGCCTGAATCCTATGAATGAACTATGCCAGGCTTCTATTCTGTGTTGTGGAAATGATCCTTTCCGCTGTGTGTACTGGGTATTGTCTCAGAATAGCAAACACATTTAGTAATGCTACCACTAACCTTTATATAGTTCTTTCAACTGTGGATCTCAAAGTATTTAATAAAAGTGGGTAAGCATCACTGTGCTCATCTTACCAGTGGGGACACTGAGGCATAGAGAAGCTAAATGACTTGACCAAGTTGTTCTGCCTGACACCCAATTCTGTTGTCAAGCCTCTGGATCATGTTGCCTAACTCTACACAGCAGCATATGGGCTCTGCTTCAGAAACAGCATTCTAAAATTAATAGTGGAGTACACTCTGGTTTATATTCAAGGAAGACTGTGTTTAATCCTAAAAATCTCCATTAAAATAACCTGCTGTTTAGAAGCTATTTTGATTTATTTGAAGACATGGAAAACAAATAAATGGTCTTCAGCCTGTTTTCTCTACCCCGGTCCCCGAAACGCACATTTTCCCCAACCATGTATTAGACCATTTCTGATGTAATACACATAATTCTGTGACAAATCCACTTCAGCCTCAGTAATGCCCTTCGTTTTGACTTCAAAACATTCAGTGACTCTCATGGATTTGTACTATTTAACACCCAGATAAAGTTGAACTGTCTTTTTTAATAACGATGGATTACATTTTCTCGTTACATGCTCTGATGCAATTTGATTTTTCACTGAGCACACGTATTCCAGAGAAAACAGTAATGCCAGTGTGAGAATAATTGTAATTATTAGAAAAATAAACAAGATGAAACAAAAACTAACATAAACTGATATTAGCTGATTCAATTACTGCTACAAAGGACTATTTGTTTTCTTTCACCTAGCAGAAAGGTGCTATATTTTCCATGCTTTTTCCTTTATAAGTATATCTTTAGAAACTTAACAGCCAGATTGTGGCCAACCTCCTTGTACTAGGGTTGGGGAAGGCAAAGAGTCTCCCAAATTGTTGCCTTCCAATGCAGGGGACAGCTACAGATGCTGTCTTTGCTCTCCTGAATAAGGTTGTTCCTGTAAAGGAGGCAGGGGCATGTCCCCCACCCTCCTCTGAAGTTGGCCAACAGCAAGTAAAAGTGTATGTGGCACCTTCTGTAGGTGTTGCACTGTGCATATTTCTGCATGCTGGACAGCTACCGGAGATACAATGCCTTTCTGCTGCTCGCACAGGGTCAATGCAGCATACAAAGATCCCGAGTTATCTGTTATCCCATCTCATGCCTGCATTGGCACTAGCACAATAGGATGGGGACATTCAGAACTGGCTGTGATATGATGAACAGATGCACTGAAGTGTTGCTGATTTGTACCCTTTCCAGTAGAGACAATTTCAAATCAAAACCCTGGACTGTACACCCCACAACTTTTGGGACAGTTTTCATCTAGGTCTAAAATTCATGGTTTTGACATCTCTCTGAAAGGAAACAGAACCCACTAGTAGAAGCTAATTCATCATGGCAGAAGGGTACCAAGTTTTGTGTCAAGTATCAGAGGGGTAGCCATGTTAGTCTGTATCCATAAAAACAACGAGGGGTCTGGTGGCACTTTAAAGACTAACAGATTTATTTGGGCATAAGTTTTGTGTGTATTACACAGTGAGGCCTCATGTCTGCAAAGCATTTAAGCACATGCTTACCCACAAGCATGTAAGTCAGTCCATCCCTGTTCAGTCCATCCCTGTTCAGTAAAGCACTTACATTTAAAGCATATGCTTAAATTCTATTGAAATCAACGGGGCCTGAACATGTCCTTAAAGTTGACCAGGAGCTTAAATGCTTTGCTGAATTGGGATATGAAGCCTATATTGCATCTTTATATGGTCAGAATTGGTCAGTCTGATGCCAGTACTTGAAACTTGTATTTTAAATGCCCCCTCAGTCAAAGTTCATCCAAGAAACTGTACAGATTGATATATATATATTGAGATGTTCCTTTGGGCAGAATACCATGAAGCCAGCACACCTGTCCTGCTGAGCAGATGATCTGCGAAGGTTGGGAAAGAGCCAGAAAAGATTTGTGTATTTGTTTAGCCACCCTGTGTCAGCCATATGGAATGACATAACCTTGTTTTGATAAGCTTACTTTTCTAAAATATGAATATCACATTTTTCTTCTTTAAAACATATTACAATATAATGTTGCCCTGAGAGCACAAAACGGGAAGATGTGCAGCCTCTTCTGTTTCATTTCCTGCTTTCATGGATTGTTGTGTTACTAAAGTATTTTTATGATAGAAGAACTTGAAGCAATATACAGTGTTCGTCAGAGGATTATTTATAGTCCCTTTAAGCTGAATTTCTGTAATGAAATCCACTTACAGACATTCCACTGTGCCCTGTGGTTACTTGCTTATGCAAATGAAATGTGACCCTCAGAATAAGCCTTTTGCCCCTGCTGTCACCTTCCCTGGCTTTAAAGGTCTCCAGGAGATCACTTTTTAAGTGATTTTTTTTATATATAGGTGGTTAAAAAAGAAAAGAAGAAAACTCCATTGCAATGGTACTTTACACAGATTCATAGAAACTGACAACTTACGGGTCATTCTCTATCTGTTTAAGAACAAGCAGCCCTTTGCTTAGAATTGTTCTAATTCCACAGGGATTCTTTTTTTAAAAGACTTTGGCTAAATTTTCAAAAGCACTCAAGTTATTTAGAAGCCTAAGATGCATTTTTCTAAAGGGGTTTAGGCCAATAAGTCACTTAGCACTAGCTTCACAAATGGATTGAGGTGCCTAACTGCCACTTTAGGTGCCTAAGTCCCAGATTTAGGTGCCATTGGTATTCACAAAGCCGCCACTCAGATGCCACCAAAGCCTATGGGCACCTAAACTCACTTGGTGCCCACGTTTTTTCAGTAAAAGTTCCCCAAGTGCCAATGTTTCCATAGGTGCCAACTTCGTGGCTGCTCCAGGGCTGGAGCACCCACGGAAAAAAACGGTGGGTGCTGAACACTCACTGGCAACCCCCGTATTAGCACCTCCCCCTCCCACCAGTGCCTCCCGCCTGCCAGCGGCCCCGCTGATCAGCGCCTCTCCTTCCCTCCCAGTGCCTCCCAGCAGCTGCAGATCAGCTGTTCCATGGCATGCAAGAGGTGCTGGGGGCGGAGGGGGAGTGAGGGCGGGGAACGCTCAGGGGACGGGGCAGAGTGGGAAGAGGTGGAGTGGGGGCAGAGCCAGGGGGAGCACCCCCGGCACATTAGAAAGTCGGCACCTATGTATATTTCTGCCTCTGAGCATGCACCCTGCTGCTCTGCCCTAGAGATCTGGATGTCTAAGCCCTAATGTGATTCATGAACCAGAGGAAGATAGGCATTCCTGTGCCTAAGTCACCTGTGGGGCCCGATTTGGTAGTCATACTCTGAGCATGACTAACTACACATAAAACCAGGAAGGGAGAGGACAACCTCTCTCATAACTTTTAGTCTAGTGATGGGGTACTCACCTGGGATGTGGGAGACCCCTAGGTCAAGTTCCCTCTTTGCCTAGTCGGAAGAAGGGATTTAAACAGAGATCTGCCACCTCTCAGGCAAGTGCCCTCATGTGGTTTCCCTCAATCTCTCTTGAAGCTGTTCTGCTTTGGATAGAGTCACTGGAGCAGGGGGACTGGATCTTGGGTCTCTCATATCCTGCAATACTCTAACTAAAAATTAACGGTAACTTAGGTACAAGTGATCCTGACTTGATCACATTTATAATGTGCAAATAGAATAAAGTCCAGAACAGCAGTTAATTTTTGCAACTAATAGCATAGAAAAGGTTACAGCCAAAAGTTGATATATCAGTTCTTGGAATATAAAGGAAAAGAAGTTGAGAATAAAAAAGGTTAGTCTTTAGTCTTTCCACATGTATTTGTAGAAAGCGGCTAGATTTCAGGTTTCAGCCTCTTCCATTTTAATGGTGGTTTTCTCTTGTGTTTTGCTACTTATTCCTGCATCTGTTCTACTCTAAGCCACTTGGCTTTACATTAAGATAGCTTTATAAACTGATGCATGGCAAAAAATTTCCTCCCATATTTACAAAATCAGCTGACCAGAAAGGAATATGCATTAAAACATTTGCATTTGCATGCCTTCTACTGCAAATTAGGATTAAATAACTGGCAATAGTATATCCATCCAAAAACCAAAAGACAAACAAACTTTCAGGAAGTAAGGGAACAGCTGACTGTGAGATGTGGGCAGATTTTCAAATCTCCTCATTGTAAAAACAGGAATGAAACTCAGAGTTTATTTGTATTGTAAAGGGATCAGAAGTGGAGAGGGATGGAAGAAATAAATACTTTTGTGTTCCCTTTAAAAGGGACAAGCAATAGTTCATAAGAAAGGGGCTCTCTGAAAATAAATAAATTTCTAATACTGCCATCAATGTATTCAAATGCAGTATCGACGTATACAAGCATCATGACTCTTATTTCTCCATTGTTTCCAGTGGGATCAGTCATAATAATTTCTGCTTTGCTGCTAATATGTGAAGACTTGTTGCCTCCAAAACTCTCTCTCTTTCCTTTTTAACATTAATATAGTTTACAGATTGATATAACTGAGTAGGGCCCGTGAGGGCCCAGTGGATGTATGAGAAAAACTACACAAACCTGAACACAGAGTTAGACATTGTGCTCTTCTGCACACTCTTATGATGAACAGAGGGGGCTTTTAGGGCCCCAGCTGATCTAGGAATGCAGACAATGCTACCTCTGTGTGGCATCATTCCACCTCTATACACCAATAGTTTACGGGTTTTCTGAAGGATTCAGGTGCTGGAGATTGGGGAGGAGTAGGCCAGGAGCTGAGCAGAGGGGAAGGCCACTTTCTACAGCACTGTTCCAAGCATCCCAGTGGAAATTTAGGGCCAGATTGTGATACATGTGCTACACATGTTCCCATTGATTTCAGGCTCATAATCTGGTCATTAATGAATGTGAGTCAGATTCTGATACCCTTACTCATACTGAATATTACCTTACTCCATCACTGCTCCCATTGATATCAATATATATAGACATGATCACGCAATCACTTAAACTTAGCAATGGGTTAAGCCGCACAGTTGATCCAAACCTTAGCCCAAAATGCACATCAGACCAAAATGGAAACTTTAGCGTTCATAGAGGCTTAACTGTTTTTAAAATTGTTTCATTTTCCGTCCTCTCCAGGTTTTGTCTGCAGATGGGCAGGACGTGAGATGAGCCTTGACTGAGCATGAGCTGAAGGCTGTGCATTGAGTTTTGTTAAACAAATGTGGAACCTGTCTGATGCTCCCAACTGTGATTTTAAGAAACATTTTTCTTTTAAAAATATAATTGTAAATATATAATTTTACTCCCTGGTTCCATCTGGCACTACAAAGAGAAGCAATGATAAGTTATTTGCAAGTGTAGCTGTTGCAGCATTACCAATCCCCTGGATGCAGGGAAGATCAAAAGAATTAGGAGAGCCTGATAGCGCTGAGTGAGATTTCCGGTCCAGATTCTGATCCTCTGAGGTCCAGAGTACTTTCAACTCAGTTATTTTTGAGGGCACTCAGCAGAATAGAGCTCCAGTTTTGCAGATCCAAGAAATTTGGCTAAGATTCAGATAGGCATCAGAACATGTGATTTCTTATCTGAACTGAGCATTTGAAGGTTCATTTTAAATGCATTGGTGAGACCACTGGAGTTTAGTTTTCAAAACTCTCAATCTACTCTCTAGGTCTTTAAGTGTGTTTGAGTTCAGAAATGGGGGCATGGATCAGCACTCATGTTGCATTCCCCATCAGTGCCCAGGCCGGGCAAGCTAATGATCCAGCCAGAGGACCAAATTCAGTGAGAATCCTGGTCACCTGCCACCTGAGGCACATTGTGCATATGCTAAGAAATTCACAAACCTTCCTTCCTGTACTTTAACCCCCTATTTTTTGTCTAGGGAAATTAATAAAGAAGCATCTTTGTGGGTAAAGAATCTTTTTAAATGTATCCTGTAGCCTCACGGCCTGTGAAATGGTGAAAGTCATATGTAAGTGAGGTGGAGCTGTATCTGTCATGTGACCTTAAATTAGCTTGATCACCATACTCCATTGCTACCTCTTCATACCTCCAGCTATCTAAATCATGTATGCAAATGAACATTACAATATCCATAATCTCAAACACTTCAGAACGGTGAAACACCTAGAATTTGTAACGGATCGCACCTACATGAATATGGGTGGAGAAAGAGATGGAACCTTTTCTTTTGCTCTGAGGTCTTATAGCCAGATATAATAGTCTGTTTTGATACCACATGCTATGGTAACGGTAAACCTGACATTATCCTGAAACTAAACTGTAGTAGGTACACTGCAGGTGTTAGCTACAAACCCACCACCAGCCTTCCACCGTGCAACCCTGCCAGCCAACTGTCTACACTACCCAGCCCCACCACCCAGTCACCTCTCACCTAGTCCACAGTACCCCAAAACTTACCATTGTTTCTTCCTGTGACCCAAATCCCACAAACTTTTCTATCAGCAAAGGAGTGTAGAATATAGTGAATCGCAGGATGATTTTCTGTGTATTTTGCTGGTCAGACAGCAGAAATGATGCAGAACCACTGATCTGGTTGGTAAAGCAAAGGCATAGGGAGACTGGAGAGGTTTTTACAAACCAACGTTTGTTAATTGTAACATTGTTCTTACTTGTCTTCCTCCAATGTTTTTATTAATAAAAAGATTTTTGCCTCAGGCTCCATCTTGGAAATATCAGAAAATGCTTACAAGAGTTCCTGGGCTGTTTCATAGCAAAATTGTATTTGTGATCTGTCAATAAATCTGTGCTACTGCGTGGGATAGATTCAGAGGGGTCATTATGTATTATTACAAGTCATATGAGTGCCAAAATAACCAATGTCCCATTTCCATTAGAGATACAGAAACAAACTACTTTAGGGGGTCTGTCAGATGCATTGGCTCTTGATGAACAATACCAGGCAACATGAATCATGACTCTATCTGGAAGAAGAGAGCATGCCAGGAGGAAGAGAGGATGGGTTATAGGTTTGGGTGTAGTGGTGGGAGTGAGAACCAAGCAGTGGAAAAGGAAATAGTTGGTGGTTCTGAGATTTTGGAAAAGCATGTCATGCAAAATATAATTGATTGATATTACAGGAGACTCTTTTTATACAGAAAAGAAGCTTAAAAGGAGCGTGCATGAGCTTGATTTAACTCAACTCTGTGTTCTTGACCATTGTGCCAAAATGTACATGGATGTGTACTCTGCTATTTGTTTAAAAAAAAACACACAGCACATATGTTGACATTAGGATAAGATTTACCGTTTTATGAAAGAACCATACACCCCAGCATCCAATGTGAAATTGTATATGTTAAACAACATTGGAATTACCCTTCCATATCAATCTGATATAGCTGTCTCTAACGATGGTACCAAAAAGCCCAACTATTTTAAGATGGAGAGGGCTAAGACCATCATTAGGTAGGGGGAGGGATAGCTCAGTGGTTTGAGCATTGGCTTGCTAAACCCAGGATTGTGAGTTCAATCCTTGAGGGGGCCACTTAGGGATCTGGGGCAAAAATCAGTACTTGGTCCTGCTAGTGAAGGCAGGGTCTGGACTCAATGACCTTTCAAGGTCCCTTCCAGCCTAAGAGATGGGATATCTCCATTTATTATTATTTACACCCTATTTATAGAGCAGTCATATTTGCTGTGTATGTCAAAGTGACCAGTGGCTAAAGAAAGAGAGTACAGGCCCATGCACTTGGCCAGGGGGTGCTCATGAGAGGTGAATGCAACCCTGTTACAACACCCCAGAACACTAGGAGCTTTTTTATCAATTGCTTCATGTTGTTGACTCATGTTCATTTTGTTGTCCCCATAGTGCCCTTTCCCCTCCCTCCGAGCCTTTTCCACATTCCTAGGGTTAGGGGATCAGCTCAGCCTGTAGACTGCTTGTTTAGCTATGTGATCACTATTGGGATGGATGCCTGTATTCACTGGCAGAAGGTTGTCAGGGTGGTGAGGCTGGTTCTCCACTCTCTGTTTAGAAAAGTGGCACCCAGGGGGCTGAGCATCTCCAGTGATCCTTTTTCCCCCACTTGGCCTCCCAAGAAGCTAGCTATGGTGGGGTGGAAAGCTGCTCAGCCCTAGTCCTCATCTGCCTTGCAGCAACCAACACAGTGAGTTGAGCAGTAGCGGGATCAATGCCTGTGTTCGTGAGGCTGCTCTGTTGCATCAGGGGGAGCCAGTCCTTTCTTGTTGCTCTGTGTGGCTTTGCTCAAGACCCTGGAGCCCTCTCTGCCATTCTGGCACTGGGCAGATGAGCCAAAGGTGGGGAATTAGCTCACACAATAGAGCGCTTGCTTTGCAATTGAGATGTAGGGGGATTGATGCTTGTGCCCTCCAGGCACTGGGGCAAGGACTCTCCCCCATTCCCTGTCAGGCAGCCAGTTTCCATCTTTCTCTCTTTTAGGTCCTCCGTCCCCTTAGCAGTCAGACAAAAGAACAACAACCACCCTCTGAAGGCCTGCAGCCACCAAGGGCAATTAAGCTCACAGCACTGGCGTTATTCATGTCACACTCAAGTGAACCCCCAAGAAACATGCCTCCCAAAGCTATTTTTGGAAGCAACAAGCTGCCATGGGGGGGACTTTGCAGCCTCTGGCACATGGGTGGGCCTAGACTAGAGTTTGTCAGGGGCATTAGCTCAAATGGTAGCGCTCTTGCTTAGTACGTAAGAGGTGATAGGATTGATGCTCATGTTGTCCAATGGCCGGGGGTGGCACCAAACCCTCCTTTTTGCCTTTTTTGAAGGTGTTGCCAGCCAGGGGACTGGCTGCCTGCAGTGCCCCCTTCCCTCTTCTCCCCACTTGGTTACTCAAGAAATGAGCCATTGCAGGGTGGAAAGCTGCACAGCCCTGGCCCACATCTGCCTTGCAGCAGCAACACAGAGCTGTGGCTGAGGGCCTGGGACATTACCTCAAGTGGTGGTGTTTGTATTGCATGTGAGGGGATTGATGCCTGTGTTCTCCACCCTGCTCTGCTGCAGTGGGATGAATAGGCACATTCTTGTTGCTTCCCTCAAGACTCTAGGGCCCTCTCTTTGCCTTACTGGCACCCAGGAGGTCAGCCAAAGGTTGGGAATTAGCTCAAGTGGTATAGCCATGCTTGGTACATGAGCAATAGTAGTACTGATGCCTGCCTTGCCAGGGTGCTGGCTTTCACTTGAGAGGTGGCTGGCCTGCCTCCTTCCCTTGTTTTCACTCCCCACCCCTGCATGTGGCAGTCAGACAAAAGAGCAAGAGCTCTTCTACAGCCACTGAGTGGCCAGCATAGGGAACCAAACCCACAACCTTGGTATTAATAGCACCACATGCTAACCAGCTGAGCTAGATAAATGAGGAGGGGAGACGGGATAGCTCCCTTTTATGCAAAAAGAACAGGAGTACTTGTGGCACCTTAGAGACTAACAAATTTATTAGAGCATAAGCTTTTGTGGACTACAGCCCACTTCTTCGGATGCACAAGTACTCCTGTTCTTTTTGCGGATACAGACTAACACGGCTGCTACTCTGAAACCTCCCTTTTATGGACACCCAGCCAGCCAGCTAGTTAGCTATAAAGTCCCTCTTGGTGGCTGGTCTCTGCTTCCTTTACTGGTAAAGGGTTAACAAAGTCCCCCAGGTAAAGGAAAAGGAGTGTCACATGACCAAAAGAGCCAATGGGAAGGCTAGAACTTTTTAAAAAGGGGGGGAAGCTTTCCCTTTACCTTTGTGGACTGAAGAAATGGGGGCAGCTGGAATGCTGTGTAAAGTTTAGATTAGGTATGAAAATTCATCGTCCATACCTAGAAGAATTCACTGGGACAGGGAATGTTTAGATAGATGCAATTAGGTTTACTTCTTTTATTTTCTGTAAGGCTTGTGGACTCCTCTGTTCTAACCCCCGATGCTTTTGTTTGCTTGTAACCTTTAAGCTGAAACCCTGCCCCTCCCCCCCCCCCCCCAACGAACGACT